TTTTTAAAGAGGTATGAAATTTGTTGGTGGCCGTCCTTCGTGAGATTTTGTTGTTGAGCCGCCTCTATTTCTTTTTTCTTTCTCTTTTTCGGATAGGTTTTTTTGTTTTTTTTTAGTATGAAATTTGTTGGCGACTGTCCTTCGTGAATTTTTTTTTTGGATGAAGTCAATTAAAGTATTTACTATTTATTTATTTATCCGATCAGTTAATTATCTGATCCGTGCTCTATTTAAAAAAAAAAAAAAACCCTTATCTGTGGTCCATCGGGCCAAATACATGATATTAAGAAAATAATATTCAGAAAATTGGAACAATGCAAAGAAGAGAAGATCTGCATGCCTCCTGTCCTTTCAGGGATGACACCCCCCCCCCCCCCCCCCCCCCCCCCCCCCTCTCCCTCCGGGTGTTTTAAGTCTCCTTTTTTTTTTTTCTTAAACGGGCCCAGTTCCCAAGGCTGCAATTATAACACGTTTTTTTTTTGTTTTTTGTTTTTTTTTAAAACGGGCCCAGTTCCCAAGCCTGCAATTATAACACGATGGAATACATGGCCGGTGAGCTATGAATCTCTAACACTGTCCTGTTGAAGTTGTGTCTTTAGGACGGCTGTGGGCCCAGGAGGGTCCAGTAGTTTCGTGGCTGGTATCGCTTCCCATCAAATAGATTGCAGCTTCGTCTTGATAGAACGAGAAAAGAAGGAAAAAGGGATTAAAAAAAAAAAAAAATTGGTGACGGCCTTGGCGTATCATCATCATTGGGCTGAGCGGCCCCAGGAGATTCGAAGTGATTTTATTCTGGTCATCTGATTGTATCTGGATTCGAACTTGGGTCTGATTCATATTTTAACAGTTTGTGGATGTTCCAACTGATCTCGGTCCGTTGGTTAAAAAAGAAGAGAAAAGAAAAAAGCCAAGTACTGTAAGCTATATTCATAAGATTGTTTTTTTGTTTTGTCCTTCTTTCTATTTTAAAGGATTGGCAATATTTAGGACATACTCAATAAATTTATAAGATGGAAAATACAAATTTGATCACAATGCAGGAATCGGGCTTGGGAGGACGAGGGTCGAGAGAGGGTATGGGCAGGGAGAACGAAGGTAGATAGATAGATAGATAGATAGATAGATAGATGGAAGAGAATAGATAAGAAAAGGTAAGATAAGATGATGAGATAAGATATGATAAGATGAGAAGAGAAGAGGAGAGGAGAGAGAGGAGAGGTCGGGAATCGGAGCAGATAGATAGATAGATAGATAGATAGATAGATAGATAGATACACACACACACACACACAGAGAGAGAGAGAGAGAGAGAGAGAGAGAGAGAGAGAGAGAGAGAGAGAGAGAATAGAATATAGATTAGATTAGATTAGATTGGATAAGATAAGATAAGATATGATGATAAGGTAAGGTAAGATATGAGGAGAGGAGAGGAGAGGAGAGGAGAGGAGAAGATAGATCCTCCAGTGCCCGACCCTCGTTAGGTGTCTATCTATCCATCTATCTATCTCCTTCGTTTCCCGGGAAAGGACGGGGACAGCGAGGACGAGGGTCGGGAATTGAAATAGATGGACAGATGGACTGATATCTGGGACTCCCGACTGTTGTCATCTCTGTCCCTACCCTCTCCCTACCGTCCTCCCTCCCTTGTCATCGTTCGTTCCTCTCTCCTCCTTGCCTCAATGACCCTCCGCCTCCCCTCCACCCTCCTGAAGGTCGTCCTCCCTCTCCCGACCCTCCGCATCTCATCCCCGATCCGCCCTCCTCCCTGTCCCTACTCCGATCCTCCTCCTCCCCTCTCCCCAACCCGCGGCATCCCCTCTTACACCCCTATTTCTCCCCTCCCCTCTCGCCTGTCCACCCTTCTCATCCTAAATGGACATGTAGATAGCTAGGTGATATATACTACCTGTAAAGAAGCAGCAGCATATGATTAAAAAAAAAAAAAAAAAAAAAGCGTCGACCACGTTCTTGTCCTCGTCGTCATTCTCATTGTCGATTAAAGGGGATGACGTCAACGAAGGTTGGGAGGGACGGGAGAGGGACGGGAGAGGGGAGGATCAGAGTCGAGGAGGGGTTGTGGAGGATTGTGGGAAGGAGGTGTAGAGTCGGAGAGGGGAGGAGGTGGAGGTTCGGCGAGGGCAGATGGGAGGACCGGGGAGGGGAGGTGGAGGGTCGAAACGAGGAAGAGGTTTTTTTTGTTTTTTTTGTTGTTTTTGTTTTTTCATGTGTACAGATGAGAGATGTCCACATTTTTTACCTCCTCCACTTGTCCAAGCTACCGTCTTCCCCCGAACACAACGCACCCTCATTTTGGCTGTATCTGGCCGGAAATACAACTTGTATACATTCATTTTAAGGGTGCGTTATGTTCGGGGGAAGACAGTAGCAGGCTGAGCAGCCAGCTGCCTGCTGTCAGCCCCCTGTCTACTTCTCTTTCTATTTCACAGTATCTCCCTCCCGCTGAGTCCCTCATGCTTTTTCTGACTCGGGAGTCTGGCCTGTGAGAGGTGCCCCAGCACTCCTCCCCTCCACCCCCTCTTGACCTGCTTTTCCCTATAGTGGGTATAATAATAAGTGGGGGAGTAGTCTCTATCTCTGGGTTCTGTAAGGTGCGTCTCTTTCCACAATCCCCAGAGATGACTCCCTCCGCATCCCCCTTCCCCCTTCTCTCCCCCCCCCAAATTCTCCGCCGCATTGCACCATAAGCCCCTCCATCTCAGACACGACTTTCCCCACCCTATACTCTTCCAAGTGTTTTTTTTTGTTTTTTCTTTAGACAAAAGACTCAGCTGGGAATCCTCAACAAACAACCCGGAAAAGAAAGCTAAAATGAAACATTGTTACGTGGGCCATTACCCAGCTCAGTCGCAGGCGACGGGGAGACATATCCGGAGACAGAAATGGCCCAAACCAGACCCCTGACCTGATGGTACCCGCCCCTGATAAAAAAAAAAAAAACTGCCTGCAAAGCCTCTCAATCCAGTATACTCTTCCACTTCCATTGTTGTCCCTCCTTTTTTTTTTTTTTTTTTTTTTTTTTTCAATACTGGAAACCCATTCATCCTGGTTGTCTTGGCGTCTAAATGCATCTCACCCCACTCTAAGGTAAGCCATGGGGTTACGACATTGTGAGGTGTAAGGTGTAG